GAGGCCACCGTCCTCCAGATCCTCAAGGTGCCCTTTGTTGACCGGCCAACCTGCCTGAAGAGCACCTCCACCACCATCCTGCAGAACATGTTCTGCGCAGGCTTCGCGGCTGGCGGTGCTGACACCTGCGGGGGGGACAGTGGAGGTCCCTACACCACCGAGATTGAGGGCACCTGGTTTCTCACGGGGATCACCAGCTGGGGCGAGGAATGTGCCAAGCCAGGTAAATATGGCATCTACACCAGGGTCTCCAAGTACCTGAAGTGGATAAAGGAAACAACAAGGCTCACCTAACCCACGGAAGCTTACGCTGGGCTGGGGGATGGACTGGTTGGTTGAAGAGAGACCATAGCAAGCTCTGCAGGTTCTTCAGAAATTGTTGCATTTTAATAAATATTTCTAAATGAACTAATTTCTGCTCTTGGAAGGCAAAAGTTGAGAGAACTCAGTGGAAATGTGGTAATAAGGAAATAAAAAGCCTTTTTAATTACTCACGACTTCACTTCTGAATGCACCGCCACTGCTGAGATGGTGTAAGCCCCCAAATCCTGGTGCAAAGGTCGGTGTGGATGAGATGGGGCACAGCTCACACGTGTCCCAGGCCAGTGTGCCACCAGCATGCCCAGGGCTGCCACACAGTGCTGCGGGCAGGGGGACCCCAGCCACTGCAGCTCTCCCCGTGCTCCTGGGGGATGCAGCTCAGGCACCAGCATCGTCCCTGCAGCAGGAGCCCATGGGGAGGTGACCACACAAAGCACTGCACCCCCAGCACTCTCGGCCAGGTGTTTTCACATGAGCCAGGCTGAGATGGATCCCAGGCAGCAGGAACTGCTCTTCTTAGGACAGCATAAAATTGGCTGCATAAATGACCTAAAATCTGTATAAAACTCATCTAAAGGTAGTGACAGGCTTTATGCTAATGATTTCTGCTCAGCCTTGTTAGGATTATAAAGAGAACTGCTTAGTACTCATTACCTGTCCTGGGCTCCGTATTAATCACGTTAACTGGAGGCTGCAGCCACGGACACTGCTGGTGGTGATGGGGACGGTGCATTGCCCTCCCCAGACGAGCTTGTGGGATGTCTCCTGAGAGCAGACAGCGTGGACACCCCAGCACCTGGTCTGAGTGGGTGGCAGAAACCTCACTGGGACATGCCTGCCCCATGACTGGGGTGGCACTGAGGCACAGGGAAAGGGAGGTGACATCCTGGGGACAGGCTGGGCTGGGCAGAAGCTCTCTGTCAGGCCAATTCAAATAGGATTAATTCACTTCCCAACTTCGAGGGAGGTTTACCTCTCATCAGTGCTGGTTCATCTCATATCTCCTTCCCTGAAAACCCCAGGGGCACAGGGGGAACAGCGTGGCCTTGGGGACCTGCACCACAATTCTCAGCACGGGCAGCTCCTGCACAGGCTTCACCACGCTGTGGGCACCACACAGGACCATGGCACCCCCAAAAGGCATAACCCCACTGACAGGGTCTTCTCCCTCCCACCTGGCAAGATGTGCCCCCAAGACCACCTCTCCCCCTGCACCACCTGCAAAAGGGGTGTTGATGGCCACACGGCCCCCGTGTCCCCCATCCACGAGCGTGGTCCCGCAGCCCCCACCCCGGAGGTCCCCATGGCAGCGCTGCCCGGTGCTGGGATGCTGTGGGGGCTGGTGATGGACACACCGTGAGGCAGGGCAGCATTTCAATAGCTGCTATTTCAGACGTCAGTATGAGCACTAAGGTGCCTCTCCCAATTTCATTGCCACTACATCCAGCAAGAAACTAATCGGATCATCTGCCATTGCTTATTTTAAAATCAAAATGCATGTAAGAAGGTTATATTTGTTCCAAATAAATTAAACAAAACCAATACTGTGAGAATTTTTTTTTTTCTCTAGAATTACAGCAGACGTGTCTTTGGACAGAATTGCACATTCTCATATGAATTTATTTAACAAGTGTTTAATCTTTAAATATAGATTTAACACAGTTTTTACAGGTACATATACAATATAGTTCATTTAAACTTGCAGTCAGAGAAAACTCTCTACTGTAATTTATACATATACATGAAGAGCCTGGTTCAACAGCATACTTAAGGTGACATACCATGCCGTGTGCAAAGTTTCAAATGTTAAAAATCTCAGACTGTACATTCAGTTTTGCAGAACTTATCAACCTCATAAATTAATAAAAGCTTAGATTTAAAACCATGGAAGACAAAAAAAAAGATTAAAACCATTTAATATGCAATGTGTGCTGTTTGAGACAAATATTTACAATTGTACCTCAAAATGTGTACTCTTACCACAAGAATTGTTACCACTATAAACAGCCCCGACAGTAACTTGAGAGACTCCCACTTTTCCACCTAGCAAGTGCCTTGTGACCAATTCTAAAGTGGATGGAAATAACCTTCAGTGACTGAAAACCTCTCTGCTATGGTTGCCAGGGGCTGAAGAACACTGGGATCTTTCCAGGTCTTGCAGCGTTGCTCAGTTCAGACTCAGCTGGTCATGTTTTTGAGTACGTACAGGGCTGATCTGCAATACTGGCCACCCGAACTGGAGAAATGCCCAGAAGTGTGGCAGAGAACCCCCAGGCAACCACAGCCATCACGTCGTTCAACAATTCCTCCGTACAAAAATGGTCACCCAAAATAATACCCTGGTATGTTTTAACTTAACAACTTGGTACTGTGTCTAAGAATCCATGGTTCACAAATCCAAATCAGCTCATAAAGGTCCCCCTTTAGTCCACGGTATAAAACGTTTCATTTTGACGGGACAGAGCAAATTCACTACCGCATGCACACTATTAACCCTGCTCTCAACACAGTCAGATGCTCTTTGCACACATCTGCTTAAAAGGCAAACCACCTGTACCTGTGTTCTACAAAAGCAAAACTAGACAAAGAAACACAAAATTAAATTATGAGTGTTCAGGGTTTTTTTTCCTTCTCAAAAATTCAATAGATACATTATTGTTAAAGATGCTGAAAAGTACAGTCTTATCACAAGAACATCCTTAGTGCAAACGTGGACATTTAACTTTGATTTATGGCACGTGTTCCAAAAGTACATACATTTACTGTAAACTTCAACACTTGCTAGATACAGGTTTCAGCCTTGGGACACTTTGGGACCCTAAGTGATTGGTGACAACCCTGAGTTGTCAGTTTGACCTGATCCAAACCTCACTGAAATCAAGTGGACTGACTGCAACGGGCTGGAGTCAGACCCTAAGTGCAAAAAGAGGATCTTCAGTGTTATTGCATCTTTGTGTGTAAGCCAGCCAGCTGACGCTCTTACAGAACATTACATTCACATAGCTGCAGTAGATATTTAAGAAAAATCCATCCATAAAATCAATTAAGCAGGACATACAGCTTCATTGTTTGGTTGGTTTTTGTTGGTTTTTTGGGGTTATTTTTTGGTTTGCCAAAACTCAACTCTTTATTTGCAACTTCAACAGTTGTCAGCTAATAAGTAGGTAAAGCCTTCAACCTGGAGAGGAAATTTCAAGCATCTAAACAAAGTGTCAGGAAACTGTAGTGTACTTCTCTGATGCAACGTGATGGATGTCATGGAAAAACAGCAGGTAAAAATAATAAAATACTGTACTTTCCAAAGGAGAACAAAAAGAAAGAGCAGAGAATGGCTTCCTTCATGACTATGAGAAGCTGCTTAGGACCCCAGTCCTGTTCAGTGCAGATGAAGCTGTGGAGGTCTGTGAATGTGATGAATAGTACAGGACAACTCCAACTATTGTGCTATTTCTCTGTAACACTTAGTTGAAAGCTTCCAAAGAGCATCGAAAATAGGATGCTACTAGTTCACCCTTAATTCAAGGGGAACTAAACTTTCTCATGTTACACAGGGCAGCATCTATAAAGTAATGAAGAATGATGTTAATATTAAAGCATCTTATCCCAAGAAATACATTGTTCCCTGTAATCATGTAACATTAGCATAACATTTAAAAAAAAATAAGTGCACTCCTGTGCTTCTCCCCAAAAGCTGAACTCCCACTAGCTTCAGCAAGAGCCTTGTCTAAGGCAGGACCACAGGGTTTGACTCATTTCCATCACCTATCACTTGATTATCACAGTGCAGCCAGCTGGTATCTTCTCTAGGCTCCTTATTTTGTCAGGCTCAAAGTGGTTTTCTGCAGCGTTACAAAAGAGCTGTGTTGGGAAGCTGGCTGGCATTCTAGGCTGTACAAGGAGACCCTGCTTTAGATTTCAAAGGCTAAAAAAACCCAAAGCCCAACATTACCTTTAACAGACCCTGCACAAATAGGAAAGCCAGTGGCTGCAATTGTTAAAGTGCATGAGCAATAGTGCAAACAGCTGTGCTGCATCTGCAGAACTACGAGGGGCATTGTCAACAGAACTTTGCCAAAACTTGCGCGTTTCAGCCAACATGCTTACGCCAGCCTGCAAGAGCTCAGGCACGTAGGATACTCTTATCAGGCAAATTCAAGCCACGTGGCCTAGGGAGGGTTGCCTCAAGCTTGTGGCAGTCGAGAGGACAATCCCCAGCGCCCTGGCCAGCGGGAGCAGAGGACGTGCAAGCTCAGGCACTACCAGCGGGGGAAACCTTTGCTCGGCTTTATTCCATGAACAACGTACACAGGGGATTCCCTTTAAGGCTTGGAAGAGATAATTTGGCAAGTGGGGTGTTAGAACAAACTAGGAGAGGGTCTGGCATGTAGAAGAGGAGCCTGTGTCCTTAAACCAAGGGGGTACGTGAGCATCCTTCCATGCCTGCTCTGAACGCTCCTTACCTTTGGGCTCAAGTCAAATTCTGACATATAACTTTTTTGCTGTTTAAAAAAACTTGGAAGCTGCAGCAATATTTCTTTACTATACATAATCAGTAATTTAATCCTTTGTTTTTATTCAGGCTACCATATTTCATGCTCTCTCTAAAAGAAATCGGTCTCACGCAACCTCCACACAGTGAGCAGAAATTAGACACTCGCCTTTTTCTCTGCCCAGCTTTTAAAGGCCAGCTGAAAATGCTTTGGCCCCATTTTGCTCTGATGTGAAAATTTGTGAGCAAACAACATTTCCTTTCACTTGCATCTGTTTACCACTGCTGAGAGAAAAGAAGAGCAGGGACAGAGCTTAACCTCGATGAGAGGGGAGCCTGCGGTGCTGCTGAACAGTGTCACCGCAGTGAGAACAAGTCACACATCTGCTTTGGGTCACGGCAAGGACCTCATTTCTGCTGTCCCCGCTCTCCATTCCCATGAAGTGGGTGCTGCAGCACAGCTGAGAGGCGAGATGCCTTCTCCTCCAGAGACACAGATGTGGTCAGTGCTGTAAATCATGATCTTTGGCACGTCAGCAACCAGGGGACTTGCAGAAATGTTTTGTCTCCTGCCCCGCTGTGGAAGAGGAGTTGGGATTGCAACACTGCAGCCCTCACCTTCCCCGAGACGTGCATCTTGCACAAGGGAAATGAAGAGATAATCTTGCATCTCCTTGTTAACACACGTAAAAGTCAAGCCAGTTGACCAGACAATGCCTGACAGCTTTAGCAAGGCAGCTTAAACCTGCAACACACGGGTAAATCTCAGCAGTAGCTATTTTCTGAACATTGCTTCTTCCGAGCAGAGTTCTCTCCAAACCTTTTCCATTTTGAGATCTGTGGGTTGTCATCCGTGATACGAAATTATTTCAATGGCAAACAAAAACAAATTCACCATGGATTTGCATAGGAGACTGAATAAATCTATTCAGAAGAAAGCAGCAAGGACTAATCTCAGAAATTATAGCTAGAGGCAAGCCAGAGGGAAAACTGGTTTTCAAAGTGACCTCCAAGTCAGCCATCTTCCTCCCAGAAAGCCTCCTGGCTTACATCCTGGCCAAGACTTACAAAAAAGCTTCATAAGGTTTCCCCCACGCACACCTTCGCAAAAGAAGATTTGGACAAAAATACTTTTATCAACAGTCACATGGCATTGCCAACAGCAACCGCTCATCTATAAGGAAAATTAACATGCAACCATGTGAGGAAAGGAAAAAAATAATCTGTGGATTCATCTGGATGTTGCAAGTTCTGTTTTGCATACAGGCTGACCCACGGCAGGCTGGCTGCAGGAGGACGGCGGATTGCAAAGGTGGCGATGGTGGACTAGCGGGGCATTGACCAAACATGTATCTGATAACCTCAAATGGGCAGCCAAAAGTTCCCTGTAATTTCATTATGTTTTCTACTGGCCCAACACTGGAATAATTAGCAGGAGAAGAGAGAAGCAGCTTGTCAGTGTGCAGGTATCAGCCATCCTGTGGTGGGAGGTTTTTGTTATAGCCACAGTGTACATCTAAGAAAATACATTAAGGTAAGGAAACCATTTAATCTCATCAGCTAAAGGTTTTGCAGAAAAAAAAAAAAAAATCCGGACTTTCACAAATTCTAGTTGTGAAATTCTGTGATTGAAGATATATTTTTGTTTATTGTGGGGACTGGAGCCAAGCAGTAACAGAGGCACCACCCCCCGCAAAGGGCCAGCACTGCCTCTCCCCCAGCTCCGAGGTGACTTCAGCACGCTCTGGATCTTGGGGACCCTACAACACGTTAATCCAGTTTACCATGCTTACATGCAAAACAACATTTCAGTACAAGCAGATAATAAAACGTAAGGGTTACGATGCTCACTCCTGGCCCTACTTTGCTCTACAAGTTTGGCTGCTTAAGTCTCCCTCTGCTATACTGGAGCAAGAGCTCCATCTTCTGAAGAAGCAGAAAAGAGCCCAATGCAGCCTGCGTCACTGAGCAGTCAGGGGTACAAAGTCACCTGCAGTATGAAATGACCAGTCCACGAAGGAAAAGGAATTGCTAAATGCAGAGGTGCTGTCTGAAAATCAGTTTTCAGAGTGCAAGTACATTATGGCTGTAAGGACACGTCACGGAAAAGCTCTAGGAATAGCTCTAGGAAATGGCAAGAAAACATCCTACATCATCCTACAACGCTGCCTGGAGTGCATGTAAAATTAGAACCATGCCTAGAGACTGCATACAGGATCAGCAACAGCGAGAGAGAACGGAGTTCACCTTAACAGGGAAAACAGAACCTTGGTGCTGTGACTAGAGCCTGGAAACACGACTGCAAAGCATCGGGAAAGTGCTGTGGGACTTATAGGAGGAGCTTTCCTTGGTTTCGCCTTGTGAGATTCTCCTTAGTTTGCACCCAGCAACCTTGTAAACCAGGCTTTGGGGGATATGACCACTGACAAAGCAAACCGGCGTTCAACGTTTGCCAGTACCCTATTTTTGGGATGCATTTATGGCTGGAGAAACCTCCTGCACAGGCTGTGGTCCAGGACCCAGTGAGATGTGATAACCAGACTTGCTGAGAAGACAACACATGGTGCTCCAGGGTGGGAGCACGTTGAGGGGAGCCCCCCAGCTGTACTGCTAGCCCGCTACAAGCTACCCTGTACGTAAAGCAGAAAACCTCCAACCTGTGAAATGTGACTGCCCTGCAACAAAGGGGATAGAAAAAATATCTTCCTTTATAGGAAGGACTTCACTGAAAAATACAGGAAAACCATCAGAGCTGATCGGAATTCTAAGCCTTTCAGAAGGCTTCCTTTGTATTGATCAAAACAATAGATTTTTACAAAAAGGAAGTATGTAAAAAGAAATCTACTTGCAATATTTCTTTATATGGCCATAATTGGTGGATTCTTACTTCTTTTTTTTTAATGGACTAAATCTATGTGGGTTTCCTGAGCTGCTCCCATCACAAACCCTGGTCGCCCGTTTCCAGTGGACAGCATGGTGATGAGGGAACACATGGAGCGGTGATGCTGCGTACATGGCAAGGGTGACAGGCTGTTCTTAAGGCATTTTCTTGTGTCATCTGTGATGCTCTCCCTGTCTATTTCTATGTACATTTATGAGAATGAGAAATACTATTTTTGAGACCAAAAACCTTCTGCTGAAACCTGGTAACCTGTTTATAAACGTTATTCTAACGCTGGATTAGCAAGCAGGCAGCAATGAGGGCAAGAGCGTGGCTGCAGAAATGAAGTATTGCCTTGAGGGTGCTGAGGGTCAGGCCACAATGGCTTTTGCAGCAGGAGAAGGTTTTGCTTAGGTACCTCCTTTTCACAGGGGGTTTGAGCTACACCAGCAAGGAGGCAAAACAGTCATGGGAATCCCTGATCAGACTCCATCTCTTCTCCCCCAATCTTCTACACAGTGCTCTTGCAAAGAAATCTACATTTTTAAATGCTTGGTTTTAATTTACTAGTGCCTAAAGAACTGTCTTCGGGTGTTAACAAAGAAAAAAAGCTTAATTTACTACTTTTGCAGGCTTTTTGGAGTAGCTGCTTTCTTCTTTTTCCTGCAGAGGCATATGCAGCCAGATTTAGTACATCAAGTGCAATGCAAATGGCTTAAAAGACCTGATTGGAGTTATGAGCTATTTCCGCTACCCGTGCTATATGATACCTGTGACTTTGGCATTCCGAAACCTGCAGTCACCGACTACTATCTGCAGACTGTGGACAGGAATCCAGCCTTCTTTTCTTCTGTTTAGGTTTTTCACCAACCTTTGAACAACAACAGTATTAGTAAAAGCAACAAAGCATCCCACCAGCAGTTTGATGTGGGCACACTACATAACCGCCGGTGCAACCAACGATTTGTTCAAACCAGGGAAGCATTTTAACAGGAGCTGGGCATGCATTTAAAGAATTATTCCCACCTAAATTTAGGAACCTAATTAGAAATCCCAAATTGGGAGCACAGCTGCCTTGGGCCCCTCTCTAGACAGTGGAGTGGAACAGACTTTTCAGAGCATGAGCTATCCTGCCCGAGACCTGCATCGCTCTCCAGAGGCGCTGGTTTCCCTCCATTGACAGCCGATGGAGCCAAGGGCAATCACTTTCCTCAATCCACCACTACTCAGCTAGACTGGTAGGATGAATTTAGTCAGGGTATTAAAGTAAATTCAAGAGAAGATGTAGGCAGCTGGAAATACTCATGCTCACAAATAACATTTCTCCCTCTCCCTAATACAGTGAAATCTGCTCTAACAAGTTTGGCGTGAGAAAGCTTTGCCTGGCACCAGCCAAAACCGCTGGGAGAGGCAGCAAGCATTCAGCAAAACTGAGATGCTTTACCTCTTGCTTTTGCTAACAACAAACTGAATTTCACAAAATGCAGTTGGACTAGATGATCATTGTAGGTCCCTTCCAACGGAAATATTCCATTCTCTTCCATTCCATTGTGTTCTGTTCTATTCATAGAATCATAGAATGGTTTGGGTTGGAAGGGACCTTAGAGATCACCTAGTTCCAACCCCCCTGCTATTGGGGGAGGAATATTCTATTGTATTCTATTCTATTCTATTTTCCCTTAAAGTACAAGGGCTACAGATGTTGGACAGGAATCCTCCACATGGCATTTGTGTCTGTGCATTTAGGGGCTAGCGTCTGCACAAATCTGATCCAGGTTCCTGCTAGTATCACCCTTCCCACACCCCAGACAAGGCATTAGCGTGTTGTGCTCTCTCCTGCTGAGACCCCAGGCTGGCTGATGAGAGCTAGTCAGAAATCAACCTGGAAAGGAAAGACAGCCAGAAATCTCAGCCAGATTGCTGCAAAAATCAGAAGAGGACATGCTGCCCCCTGAGACAAGGAGACTAATGGTTCAACAGACTGGGTATGGCCATTTCCCAGGCAACGCTCCCAGCCGTAAGGAGAGAAGCAGCTGTCAAGTGTTATCTTGTGAGCCACAGCTTCAAATGCAACAGAAAGCTGGTCCATGGCCATTAACCAGTTAACACTCATACAGCTGTTTGAGGGAGGAAAATATCTCACAGTTACTCAATATTGCTATTAATAAGCTCAGAGGAAGAAAGCCAGCAGCTGAGCTGGGGTGGGCAAAGAGCTCTCACTTCAAGCATCATCTGAAGCATGAAGAGCATGGAAAGATGTTGGTAAAACTCATCTCGCCCAGACACCCCTGGCAAGGGATGTCCTGGCATGTTTTCCCAGGCCCAGACAGTGCGTATGGCCTCCAGTTTTGGCAAGGGAATGAATCCTCCAGCTTTCTGGAATAGTCTAAAATTTAATCAGAAGCTGCAACGAGTGTATCCCCAGGCAAGCGAGCTCGTACAGGACCACCTTGCAGGCTCTGGAGAGATAAGGCAAAGTAATCCAAAAATACCTACCACTGTCCCTCACCATCTTCATGCAAAAGCTGAATTTCATCCCCATTTTTCACCAGCAGGTCCTCTGATCCTCTCCTCTTGCAGTCTGCAAGGGCTTTATATTTTCCTGGAGACTGTGGTAGTAAGAAAAAATTATCATATTTAGCTACATTTCATATCACACAGCTGTTATTTCTGACCGCCACAGGGAATGTGATGGAGCCCTATCAGCTACCTTAATTAAAATTATTTCAAGAAACTGTGGCTGAGACATCTCCTCATTACCCAACACGGAGATATGGAAAATCTGAGAGACATGGACAAGATACATCCATTATCTAGTGAAGCCAAACAAAGTGAGACAATTAAAACCAGCAGCACCCCGAGCTCTGAGACTGTCGCATCTCTGTACTGACCAGCTGGTTCCCATCCTCCTCCTCGGTGTCGGAGCAGTTGGAGAGGTACTGGTTACCCGACCACTCCTCCAGCCCCTCACAGATTTCCAGGGACTGTGACATTCCCGGCCAGCCTGCAAGACAGGGTGCAGCTCAGGTTGGGGGTTCCCCAGCACCCGCAAAGCGTGCCCTGAGGGAAGGGGAAGGGTCCGTACTTCTGTGGGGCTTGCTCTGGGGGGACGGGAGCCCACTGTCCAGCATCACCGGGCTGGTGCGCTCCGAGTCGTTCTCTTCTGAGCTTATGGAGGCTCTATGCTGCTTTCTGAGTGATTAAGAAAAACGAAATCAATCTTAGTTTTACTTTATGAATGAACGTAAACTCCACAAGGTTTTGTAAAACAGGGTCAGAAATAATAACAGTATTTTTTAATGTGTGTTTCTATAACAATAAAGGACTTGGTGACTGGTTTTAATTTTTGGGAGAGGGGAAATAAAAGTGCTGCAGTATCTCTTCCCCTGAATTTGAGCACCATCCTTTATCTTTCTCCATTGGCAGAGGAGCTGCAGCTCAGGCTGTGCTGCAAGGAGGGCACTCAAAGATGCCCCTTACAGACCCCGTCCCCAGACCACTGTCACCAAAGGATGACCAGCAGCACATCCCTCCTGGACCCTACCCAGAGGTCTTGGGCAGAAATGGAATGGGGGGAACAGCACAGAGCCCAGGTTCGGCCAGAAGACACCAAGTGCCCAGTGACAGGAGGTACCAGAGAGACCCCCACCCTGGCTCCTGGGACTCACCCGTCACTCGGCTGGGAGCAGAGCGGGAGCTGGTCCATGCACGAGCCGGGCTGCTGCTTCTCCACTGCAAGGAACACCAGCTTAAAATCCATTCTTTCATTAGTACCCGTCACAATCGAAGCATTATTTTTAAAGTTAGACCTTTTGTACAACCCTAATGGTTTCTGGGAAAACAGACTCAGTTATGATTAAGATGGTACGTTAGCACAAACCCAATCGTGAGCATGCCACTGAAGACTATAATATGCTTAAAACTAGACATCTGCTATGTATCTTGTGGAATTAAGCCTATGATAACAAATGTGAAATAATCCCCATGGTAATGACAAAAAAACAAAAAAGTACGTCTGTAATTCATTTTCACCTAAGCACCTGGCCTTTACTGCTCTAAGTTACCAAAAAAGTACGTCTGTAACTCATTTTCACGTAAGCACCTGGCCTTTACTGCTCTAAGTTACGTTATTTCCCTGTAACGTAAGACCTCACTCTAGTATTTTGCTACTAGGTTTCTTCTGAAAATCAATTCTCTGGTGAGAATTAGTGGATTTGAAGACTAGCAATGTGAAAATAGGAAAGGTTCTGCTGCAGAGTGAATGCCACTGAGAAATTGGTCAAATGTACCTTTTATAAGTTCCTGCTGCTTGAACAAAATTTTTCTTATTTCGTTCAACCATGCCATCTTCAGATCTACTGTCTGAGCCTGGAAGAAGAGAAAACGGTCTGAATTTTGAATTAAGAATCATCCATTATAAATATATTAATAAAATCTTACTTTTCTATGCCATGTAATTATCTGAATTCCCCTTTTATCCAAGCCACCAACAAATCTTAAATATTCTTGATCTTTTAAAATTTATGATCCCCACTACATCCAGGCAAAACACAGTGGAAATTGTGGAGCCATCACTACAATGCAAGGAGTGCAGGCAAAAGCACGTGTGCATGCACCTTATCTCTTTTACAAAATACCTAAAGGGCCAAATCTGCCTTCTGAATATATGCATACTTGGCTGCACACACGTAATTTATGAATTTAAGTTGGCTACTGTATTCTAACATGGAGAAAAAAAAGCTAGGCAGAAAATTAATTTAAAACATCATCAATCAACAATATTTTCTCAATGAGTTTTCCTGTGAACACTCCATTAGACAAACATTTCACCTCCATAACTTCCTATTCAAAATGCTCCAAAAGGAAAAAAAAAAAAAAAAAAGTTGGGAAGGAATCAGGTCAATTGGACTACTATTTTGTAGATGAGTTGAAAGATCACTGGAAATAGCACCATGGAGGGTAAGCCTTTGCTCTGGGAGCAGTTCTGACATCTCACTGTAGAGGAGCACATGTGGCCCATGTCCATTAAAGCATGAGGCCCATTTCCCAGCTCACTTCAAGGAAGCTATTAAGCACAGTAAATTATTTTTTTTTTCCAGCTACTGTTCTATTTGAGATTTCATCTGGAATAAAAGGCTCCATTTCAAAGGAGCAATTCTGTCTGCACTTCAAGATGAGTTCCACAGTTCTGGACTGGACACCAAGGACTGGGACAGTTCTGTGAACACCAACATGGGCAAAGAGGAAGAAGAAATGCAAGTTAAACTTCTGATAATCCCACAAAGGTAAATGGGAGACATTTCCTTAACACTGGTACAAGGAGGTACAAATATCCAGATTGTTTGAAGCTACAAACCTGGACGACATAGACCTCTTCTCGCCCGCTATACCAGATTTCAAATTTCCGATGATCTCCTTTCACATTCTCAGTTATTCCAACTGCATTCATCTGCAAATCCAAGAGAAACAAGAAAATGAAGCATACTATAAATCTTTCCCTTTTCCCTACGAATTCAGACATTTTGCAGCATGTTAAACAAACCTGTTTTCACCCAATTTAACACATTTCGTCAACTTTAATTTCAGTAGCAACTGAAAGTCATTATCTGACTTAACCCCCCTGACTTTCTGCTAGCTTGCTGTACTTGTAAAAGCTTTCTGAAACCAATCAATGCACCCTTAGGGCACTTTTCATTTGGGAACCAGTGGAAGTAACTGAAAAGTCATCTCATAGCTCTTTCAGTATGAAATTTCTCAGATGAAGCATATGAAGCTTTATAAATGCATGGCACGTTATTTTTCTACACACATTATTTCTGCCATATTATAGAATCACAGGATCACAGAATGGTTTGGGTTGGAAAGGACCTTAAAGATCATCCAGTTCCAACCCCCTGCCATGGGCAGGGACACCTCCCACTAGCCCAGGTTGCTCAAAGCCTCATCCAGCCTGGCCTTGAACCCCTCCAGGGATGGGGCATCCACAGCTTCTCTGGGCAACCTGGGCCACTGCCTCACCACCCTCAGAGTGAAAAAATTTTTCCTAATATCTAGTCTAAATCTACTCTTCTTTATTTATTCACTGCATTCTGTATTTCATTCTTTCAGCAATCTTTAAAATCCATTTGCGAAGCCCTTAGCTCTTTCAGGAATTTCAGTTCCCCATCTCTTGGTCCCTGACCATCCCTGTAGTTGAGACATCATCCCAAGGTTTCCAAAAGAAGGGTTAATTTTTGGATATACAGCCTGAGCTGCCATAAACCTGGCTTTCAGGAAGGCCACAGACTCCAAGCTAGATGTGGCTGCATGCTGCTGTACCTAGGTACCCGTTATCACAGACCACTTCTGAGAAGTTGAATGGAAATGCCAAAGGCACAAATAACTCAGGATCTGCACAGCGTGACCCACCTAAATGAGTAGCTCAAACCATGATTAGAGACCAAGAAACTCTTCAGCAACAGGAGACCTCTGACCCACCTGCTGGACATGCCACAAAGCTGAAAAATCCTTTAATACCTCATATCATACAACCCATCTTCTTGCTTGAAGCACAGTTTGCTAGCAATTTATCCCTGATGGTCAAAAATAGCTGAAGTATCCCACTGACATGTTTTGAAAGAGATCTAATAATAATCATATCATATATCATAAATTATTCACACAGACTGCATTAGACAAATCAGTATAAATATAAATAAAGCCTTAGAAACAACACCTGTTTAACACTGCTGTTCTTTTTTGTTAATATGTGCAGCCTTGGACCTTTTGGTGTGAACAACTACGAGGATTTACAGATCAGGTCACCTGGGCAAACCTTCTGTTCCCAGTTACTTTTTCAAATGTTGATGCCCATTTTCAGTGACTATGAACAGCCACATGAAACAGGAAGCAAGTCGCTAATCAGCTTTCCTTGTTTCTTCACTGGTATGAGCAGCAGAGCTCTTATGGACCTTCTGAGAAAGTGTTTGGCTCCAGATGCAAAAGGCCCATCGCTGAACAGGAGTCAGCGTTGCCCAGCCATCGGTATTTAAAAATGCATAGGTTAAAATCTGCAGCACAGTGCTCAACGTTCTGAAAAATTTTATCCTGTGCAGTATAGTGCCACGATGCCTTAGAAAGCTGAATCAGGCTCCATCCTGATTTTTTTAAAACTTAAAAAAAATAAAGTGTTTTAAGATGTTGAAAGGGCAGCCTAGAGAGCACCTCATCCAGTCGCTGCATTTCCAGCTCCGTGCATCTCCTCTGGCATGGCAATTTACACAGAGGCTCCTACAAAACTGCCCAGGTATCAAGATATTAGAAATTTTAGATGATCTACTATGAGGATGCAAAGAAAAGTGCCAGGAATAGAGATATTTAAGGTCTGCTCCTTCATATTAGTGAATTTTGAAATTCCATTTCCTCCCCCTGACCAGGATTTACTGTCCCCCAGCTGTCGGTTCTCTGCAATGCAGACTGAGGTGGGTTAGTCCAAAGCTCTGGGCTGGCGTTCATCTGCATCACGGTGGTACGAGGCAGACTGATTTACTTGGCATTGCAGTGAGTTACGAACCTGCATCCTCTAACTTACTGTCTCAGCTGCAGAGGTATTTACCGCTGGATATTTCACATAGTCTGTAAAATATTAGCCTGAGGGGTTCTTTTGTTTGTTTTACAGACATCCAGTTGCACAGCTTCTACCCAACAGCTTGCCTTAATTCTCAATCCCCAGAAAACATTCTTGCAAAGAAAAATCATTTCGTGATACCATCATGAATCAAACAAATGTCAAGCTCCAGAAACATTATTTTGTCCTCAGGACAGCAATTCTGAAAACGTACGTGTGCGGATGTAATACTGCAGCACCCATGGATTCTCTAACCCCAACCTCTCCGTGTGGCAACACAAGCAACTTGAAAACGAGCCCTCTCGAGGCAAAGACAAACCCTGGCCACACTGCCTGGACTCCTGAACATGGGATTTTCTCCGAGCAGGCTTTCCCATGCCACCTCTTCAGTTCTTTCAAAAGCACGTATGGTAAAGCAAGTACTGCAGGGAAAACAAGCTCTCCAGAAAGAAAATGATGCTGTTTGGGAAAAACATTTAAGTACCTAAGCATATGGCCTGGGATTTGCTTTTAATACTTAATTTGTAATGTGCACTGGAGCTGAACAGAGTTCTTTCCTGTTACACGGTTTTCCGACTGCTCGTGGCATCTCCCTCCCCAGACCCTGCTGAGACCTGCAGCATCTGGGCCTGAAGGCTCTGCCTCCAAGCACCCTTTTTTTTTTTTTCTCTCCATTCTAAGACATGCCCATATTGGGTTTTTATTTATCCAGAACAGGGTGGAGTACAGAGCCAAAATGCTGATGTTAGAAGTGCTCACACAGAGTATGCCAGGTCTGTTCTAGAGGAGCAGTTTGGGATTTTTATTGGTAACAGTTGGCATTTATAGTCTTGGGACAGTTGTTATGTCCCTCATAGTTTGCTATAGGCTACTTCATCTGATAATTGTATTTTATGTGCAGTTAGAGCCTACCAAAGGAGAAAGGCAATGAGAGAGGAAGAAAGGTTGTCTCTGATCCTCCTGGCTGGGAAACAGGGCTCGGGAGCAGCCAGGCTCCTCCCGGCTGTGCCCCAGGCAGATCCCAGCCCAAGGGACCTCTCTGGGGACCAGGAGCACAAGCAGCCCCCTCGCTGTCCCAGGGTCCCTGGTTTATGACACCCAGGTGGGCTGAGGAAGATGTGAAGAGACCCCCAGTTTCATGCCCTCACCCCTGCTCCTGGAAAGCAGGCTAGGGGAGTGGGAAGACACATTGTCATCCCTGGGACATGCCCACAGCCCCATTTCCCTGGCAGATGCCATCACATATGTGAGTCTGAGTCCGTGGGCTCTCCCAGCTGCTGCTTCAGCTACGGGGGTCCTCACAGCTTATCACAACCAACAGCCTTTCCTGGGCATGGCGCTTCCATGTGGGGCATCACAGCCCTTAAGAGCAGAAAACATCCCACTGTGTTAGAGGGGAAATACTCTCTGTATCTGCAGAGTTAACGGTTTACAACACACATAGCAACGGTCCCAACTAAAAAAAGTCCTTACTTTCAAAAAGTGCTTAAAACTGTAAGATGAGGTTTTGTCATATCCATCTCCGTGCTCCTCTCGCTTCTTGCAGAAGACCAAGGCTTTCTCATACAGGAACAAATGCCTCTGCATTGGCTTGAACCTGGCCAGATCCTTCATCTTTGTTGGACCTTTTCGGTGTCCTGTCCAAACACTGAAAGATCCTTGCATCAATACTTTCCCCAGTTCGCTCAGGTCACCCTGGTGAGAGTAGGACAAACAAAAAAAGAAAGAAAAATATGTAAATTAAAGTGTAAGAGGACCGTCCAAACAATGACGGGCAACAGGGCCAGTCCTGTTCCAAGGCACGTCACTCTAAGAATAGGTCTTCCTGGAAGGATCAGATATCTTTTGGGAGTGACGGTATGGTGCCAGGACGGAAGCAGAGGTCTCGGACACAGGGCTGCAGCTAGGCTATGCGAAGGGACACAAGTCAGTAACTGGAAGAACTAGGAAGACAGGAGAACTCTCCAGCTCCTGTGGAAGTCCAGGTCAAGGGCTCTGGCTCCTTCAGTGAGAGAGGGCAGATGAGACTTGAGCCTGAACTGAGGTCTCGGAGGACGGACTTCTCAAGGAGCCCAGGACTGGGACCAGCAGCTTAGACAGCCATTCCCTCACCCTTTCCTGAAACCCCAGGAAGGACAAACACTTCAATGGTCAAGGATCAAAACCAGCCTCAGAGCATACTTAGTTAAATGTTAATGAGGAATGCTGTGAAGACACCACTGGTGAACTATAAGGTGAGCTATGAGAGAATTAAGGTGCTTGCTGGATAAATACTCTCGAGAACCACAAGGTGGCAAGTGTGGGCACCATGCGACTTTGGATCTGTCCTTTGGATGCAGATATTTTCCAGAATCCTGAAATCAGACGGGACCTGTAAGATTTTCCTGATCCCATTCACTTTGTAGCTGTTCTAGTATAGTTTTTATCTCATACATTCTGGGATGCTATCCATTCCCAACGCACCACCTAGCCTTGTGCAAGGTCTCCCATTACCCAAATCTACTCACATCATATCCTGTTATTGAAATCTGATGCATAGAGTCATTGACTGACTTTAGCAAATCCAACATTGCAACCAGAGCTTCTTGAAGTTCCTGAACTCCATCACAGCTCGTGCTGTACTTTAGCAACTCCTGAAAATAGAAATGGAAGAGCACGTGTGTGCACTTGAACAAAGCAGATTTTTCCATCTCACACAAAGTTTCCAATCCCCAAGGGCAACCTCCACTGCCTAAGTTTCTTTTTTCATATGTCACTGGAAAAAAGACTCACTAAACCATAGTCAGTATGAGGTGTGGAACACATCACTGAAGCATGGCCCATTTTTTCTGGGTTTTCTTAAGGACGGTGTCAGTTTATAGAGTGGCATTATGCTCATCTGAGTTCTTTGTGTTGTGTTTTCCTGCTTGGTAAGAAACGGGAAATAAGGCTCAGGATTTCCACCAGCTGTCAATATGTCATATATGCCTTCAAAGGAGGCTGCAGCAGATAATTGTGTTCAGACTGGCAGACACAAGGAACAGATTTTATAAAATCCATAGCCTTCAAGTCAATATGCAGAAGATGGAGGTGGGAAATATACCACCGATATTAGAAAATTACTTTCATTTCAGATCTCCTCTGCCCACTTACAGCTTCTTGTGTCCTCATCCCTCATTCAAGAAGCTGGAAGGTGGGGTTCAGAAGCCATCGCCCCACTGTTGTTCACACTGTACAGTGGGAATAACAGCACTGCCCTGCCTCAGACAGGGGACACAAGGATAAGTGCATTAAAGATTACAGGCACTATAACAACCCAAGGATAGGAAGAGATGCACCAATATAATTTATTTCATTCATCATACTCTTACGATCATCTCTGGTTCAGTTTTCTTAGAAGTTATTCTGTCATTTTGCATCTCTAAACAGATTCAGTTTTTCTCCCCATAAAAACAGCTTCTTAAAAGCACTTGTTCCTTTTCCAGTTACGTCAATTTTCATCCTCAGTGAGAGTCACTACGGAGTGCAGACATAAGCAATGTGTAATCTAAGGCTTGGTGCTGGTTTACAGGTAACCTTTAATAAAACAAAACGGAAAACAAATCTATCTCCCAAGGTCCTTTCAAAGCAGAATATGAAATACCTTCAGAAGTAACTGGTATTTTGTCAGGCGCTGCACTGGTTTAAGTAAATAGGAATCCAGCCCAAGTTTGTGCTCTAATTTTCTTTGGCATTCCTGGAACAAAGAATCCAGATTAAGTAAATTCTGCACCAGTAAGTAGTTATTCCAACAGCACGACTAATATGGTTTGATGACTTGGAAGATTTCATGTAAAAATGTCATATGGTGCCTAAAACTAAAGAAATTTTACAAAACCATGTAAAATAATATAATGAACGAATCTGCCTTAAACGCCTTGTGTACAAGAAACTCCAACTGCTATTTTTGTGAGGCATCCATGCAACAGTAAAACGAATACGCCAGAAAATCACCGGGAGGGTGCCAAGGAGGGTGTTTAGGAGAAGTGAGTCTCCCAGGACAATGCCTGCCTGGGTAGGAACAAACAGCTCACCTGGAAGAAGGTGCTTTCGGAGCACTGCCTCCACAGGGACTCCGACCGGGGCTTGTTCTGGCAGTATTTCTCATACATCTGGAAATCCTCTCGCTGGAAGGGAAGCCGAAAAGCAAGTCACACGCACGCACGCAAACCTGCTCGGCAGCCAAATACAGTGAGCACCCAAACTGTAGATTTGCTTTTATCTCTCCTGCTGACTGTAATATCTGAAAGTCACAGAGTCTGGGTGAAAGAACCACTGCTGGGAATCACAGCGGACCATGGTGCAGTCACGACTGCCGCTTTCCCCCATCTGTTGTTGGCCACGCAGCTGCGCTCCCTGCCTTGCTGTTGGTATTGCCTATCAGAAGCATCTCACTCAACTGACATAGCTGAGAAACTGCGGAGTGTGACAAATCAGGAGAAACATTGGCCTTGAAGTCTGCTTTATATGTGAAAATGAGTCACCCACCCTGTCTAGGAAACAAAATCCCACTCTCTCGGGTGCTCCCAGGCAGCTTTCCAGACTGTGCAGGAAAATTCTGCAAGAGACAGGGGAAGAGAAAAAATGCAGTGGTGAGGAAGGTAGAGTCAGGGTATTTAATTGTTATAGGAAATCAGGCTGGGAAAAAGGGGAATAGAGGCAGCGTCATACTTGTTGTGGAAGTCATATATCTCGGGCATGTTTCCGAAGAGGACGTCCTTCCTGTTCCTCAGCATGGGAGGCATGAGGATGAGCATGGCGGGGTTGTCCATCTCAGCCCTGTAGCCCTGCGGGATGCAAAAGGAGCTCATCACTCGGCTGGTACAGCCTTGGCTTGGCATCTCCTCAAAGGCAGATGTAAAGGGGATGTGAACAGACTTTCAATACAATCTGCTTTGCTTCAAAGTGCAACATCCCTTTTATTTCCTCAGTTTTGTCTCAAACCCCTGTCTTTCAGTCCCTGGGCGCGTGGGTTGTGGTCCAGCAGGGAATGGCTCAGGACGGCTCCCCGGGGCTGGCCAGCACTGCAGAGATCTCTCTATTCACTAGAGACAAACCACAGCCACTGTCTCCTCAACTATGGCCTGACTGCAGGAGAGGTCCCAGAAGAATCCTTGTCTGGGTCAAACACATCTGCTGCTGCGACCGTGGGACACACCAGTGACACACGGGGTATGTGGTTTCACACAACCTCATGAGAACCAGTGCATGAGGTGACTTGTCACTAAGCAGACAGCTCAAGATCAACTACCAAACCCAACCGGCTTTTTGCTCTGGTACAAGACCCACTGAACACTAGGATCTCGCTCTCCTCCATGCCTCAGGCTTTCTGTCCTCTGTGGCTCCACCTGCATCCTGAAATCACAGCCTCCCAAACCTGGGAGGAGCTGGAAGGGACACCACCGCATGACAAACTGTTGGGTGGAACAAGGAAATAACGCAAAGCTCCCCTTGGTAACAACACATCACTACACCAACGCAAAAATATTCCACAGATATGGTAAGTGTCCTCACTGTAGGGAAGGGAGAAAGCACAGCTAGAGCTCAGGACTGTCGCTGAAAAAAAGATATGAAGGTGGCCATCAGCCAGAGCTCAAGCTGGCCATGCTAGTCATCACGCACTGCACAGAACTGAGGTCCTTTCAACGCAAGTAGCAAAAATGTTTGTGAAAATGTATTCAGTATGTGCAGCATATCTTCTCTGGCTTTCCAAATTAATCTCTCATACTCACTATGGCTGGAATCAATATTCCTTACACTAAGCAGGCATTTTGTAGTTGATTAAGGATGCAGGAGAAGATAAGTATCTGGAAAATTAGCCATTTATATTTAACCACTGCAAGCAGGCTTCCCTCTTCAAAGGAAACACTATTTTCAGAAAACTTGAATCTATCTGTCCACTTTTCTCCATCTAGACTTGATATGCACAGTAATAAATTTGCATACCAGCCAAACGCTTCATCATATAGAGTGTGGTTTAACGAAAAAACCCAATCAGTGCAGGGCAATTACCTGTAACTACCTGCAGTCCACCAGATTTATATCCTGCTTGCACCTGGGTGAGAGAAATGCAAGGTGGGGGGGAGCTATTTAATGGCCAACTTGTTTTGGCCATCAGCAAGACTTACTTTGGAATAAAGGAGAAGTGTCTAAAATGGCAGTATGAGAAATTATAACCTGGTTTCTAAGGAAATGTGCTTTATACATTCACAGACTTCACAGTATTGAGGCATAATCCTCCCAAGGATAAACACAAGCTTCTTTCTTTTGTCTCCAAAAGGTAAAAGAAATTAGGGAACAGTCAAAAATACCAGCTTTTTGTACATTTTTTCCAGGCACTGATAAAACTAATTACCAGTGCTTTTGTGTACAAACAGAAGGCTTCTCCCTCGTTGTAGATGAAAAGCTCATCCTGACACCAACTGTTCCTGCAGATGCCTCCAACAAAGGAAAGCTTGGGAGAAAACCTGAAAACTAATGACTAGCTTGGGATCTGACAGTTTGGTAGAAATCTGCCCCGTAGTATTTTTGCTTAGTTTGACAGAGTGGCAGGTGACCTTTCGTACAAGTCACCGGGGAACAGTAATAAGTAATCTGGAGAAGTCACTCACCGTCAAAACTGTGAAGAGTTCCTCTACATACACTCTCTCAGTTTCTATAAGCTCATTTATGACGTGGCTAAAATAAATTAAAAAAAAAATAAGTACATTATTTTTATGTCTGTAAAAAACCCACAGGTAATCAGTGCGGTTCAACTAGCCCAAAACACAGTGCGATCTCATGAACCACCACCACAGATGACAGAACAGGTAAAAGCGCAGGAGATGACCCCTAGGTCAGGTTGCAGGAACACATGGATGCAGCAAGGACTGGCCACAAATAAACATTATTTTGAGTGATGTAAAAAGGGTGAAATCTTACCCTTTTAGTATATCTAAGTTGTCGTCACTGTCTGAAATAAAAGACTGCAAGGAATTCCGTTTTTCCTGATAGTCGTGCATTACTTCAATCTGGAAGAGAAATGGGACGCAGTGGGAAGAGCTGCAGGGAGGTCACTGCAGGGGTAGGACCAGCCCAGCAGCTCTTTAGGGAAGGATGAAATACATCTCCTTTTAAGAAATCCTTTGTGACACAAAACTTTAAAAGGGCATGGCATATAATGGGTAGCCAAATATTCCCAGAAATGAGTCTGCTACATAAAATCTGAAAACACTGGTAACATAATTCATTAGTGCAGAGATCAGAGAACAGTTTCCACAGGGGAAATATCTGTGGATGGAGAGCTTTCCTAATAGACATCACTGCTCTGCAAAGAACAACTTCAGGGAATAACATAGAGGAAATCAATACCTGCGACTTGTAAAAATGATCCAAGGTGCTGGACTAATCCAACTAAGCCACAGGCATATGAAAGGGTAAATAAATAAGAAAAATCACTTTCCAATCCAAAGTCTAAGTACAATCCATTTTTAGAAGCATTCCAGCTGGAATCTTAGTGCATAAAACTCATTCAGTTTTCACTTATAATTTTTACCTTGCGAGAACTTGGAGTTTTTCTTGATGTTTTCTTCCCAGGGAGGGAGAGATCAAATGAAAATTTCAAACTGGAATTAAAATCCACACCTTGGGTAGGAAAAAACCCATTATTACATAATGTACATCTATAGTGAAGGAGACGGTTCAGACAAACTAAGTCACAAAGAAAAATGGGATACATTCTAAGAATTAATAATTAGTTAGCTAATACTACAAGCAAACCGACAAAATAAAGGGTATCTCAAACAACAATACTGAATACCAAATAACACAAGCCACACAGATGGCCATAAAGACCAAAAAGTAAGAAGTAATCAGAGAAAACAAAATGCCCAACTCTGCTTGTTTGCAAGAGTGACTTTACTCCAGCACTCCGCTCCGCCGCAGCCTGCCGTAACGCTTCCACACACCTTGCTGTGCTTTACAGCTCAGGACAGGAGAGGTTTCCTCTTTTTTTTCCCCAAAAAGTGGTTTGAAAATTAGAACCACATTTATCATATAGGCTTCAAATACAGGACAAAGATGAAAGAAGAAGCGTCTGTCCTCAGACAGAAAAAGAAGAGGGGGGGGGGGGGGGGAACAAAAGAAAGAAAGGAAAAGAGGACAAAAGCGATGTGCTCAGAGGTGGTTTGGTTTCCATCCACGCCACAAGCCCATCCACCTCAGAGCCCTCCCGGCACAGCCCAGCACGCCTCTCTGACACCACACATCATGCCAGCAGGCCTGCGGCATTTTGATGTTTCATATAAACACGGGCCTTATTAAAAAGCTCTTTTGACATGATCTATCCAAAAATGAGCCTTTTCTCTTTCCCCGCTTGCTAGCTATGTGCCTTTCAACACACTTGATCATCCCTTTCAGGAGGAGGATCAATGGAGGGTACCTCTGCTTCGCAGGCGACTGAGGGCCTGTGCTAGAAAACGTGCATCCCATAATGGCATGAAATAAGTGCAGCGACTGATGATGGCCTCACAACATCCCACGGAGGTGGCCACCCATTTCCCCCTACTCTTCAAGTCAATAAACCCTCCTTAACATTGTCCTGTTTCTAGAAAGCTGGACAAGTCCCACTGGGTAAAACGGGCAGGACTCTAAAGAGTCAGAGCTTCCTCCTGACCGAGGAAAGGGGTTCAGAGGGCAGTGCGGTCTAGTGAAGGCAGCATCAGCCTGGGAAGAGGAAATTGGGGATTTATTTGCTGCACTGGCCTGCCATCTTGAGTAGCCTCATTCCCCTCACTGCATCTAGCTTCATTCCCATCCCTCCCCCAGCTTGGCTGCTTCCAGTGCTCACTCCCTGGGCTGGAGCCACTTTGACTGTCCGGATGACACCTGCTACAATTCACCACAACCAATAGTCATTAATTCATCCTACACATTTTGTGTTAAAACACAAATGTTTAATCGCTACATGCAGTCAGATCATTGAATATTCTCACACAACTTAGCATGTCCCTGGTTTAAACACACACACGTCACTTTGGAATATTTCTTAATTCTGATACACACAGGGCTGCCAAGGATGAAAGTCTTCATGTTATCATTTAAGGCTAACACTGTGCCACATCCCATTAACCCAAATCAAGGCAGAACATTCAGTCACCTCAGTTCAACCAGAATTTGTACCTTCACAGGCATTAATTATTCCACAATGGGGATCCAAGGAAGACATCCTCAAAGAATCAAAGGGAGTTAAGCATCCAGGTTCTCATTTCTGTTCACGGGATTTGAGCTCCTCATTTCTCCAAGCTCCTTTGCAAACATCAGTCTAACTTCATGTCAGTTGCAGCTCAAGATACTTATAGAGACTGTCGCAGAGCACTGGCATGCTAATAAATTTATAAACCTCGCCCTTTTTCCCTGCAGTACTAATTCACCAGGTTTCAGCCCAGTAGGATGCTAGCAAAGCAGAACTGGAAGCACACGCTGTTTACAGCTGTCTTTTTTTCACACAGTAGGAAGTGAAAAATAAATGAAAAGCAACCAGCCTCATTCTTCACAGAGGTATGGGAAGCTAAATACAAAAACTGGAAAGATAATAAATAATCTCATATACAATTAGCATTATAACATTAACTCTGTAACAGCCAGCAAGGTTTAGTTGGTTTCTCAAAACCGCCCCTAGCCTTCCTCTTCCTCCCTCAAAGCAAAATGATAATCTGAAAATACCATAAACTTAAAATACTTTACCATGTTTAGGAGAGAACAATGGTGATTTTGATCTCGGTGGATTTTCTGGCCGAGGGGCTACTAACTGGACAGGTCGTACGTGTTTATCCAACAGCTTCTTGAAGCAAGACTGCCGATTCTCAAACATGCTGCGAACGTTTTCAAGCTTCACCTGCACTGACTGTATCTGGCACTGTAGAGAGTGAGAAAGACTCCTGTGACCAAATAACTACCATTATTTCACACTTTGACCCAAACCAGAGGACTACAAAGCCGACAACACCACAACACATCTGACCCCGCTTTTCACTTGTGCAATAAGGAACCGGAGGGGCTGCTTACCTTCAGTTCAGATGTTAAGACTGACTCAAAATCACAGTGTAGGGCTTGGGGATCATAGTTTAAGTAGGCTGAAGAGCTTTCAAGAAATCTTTCTATGTCCTGGAGAGCTTTCTGAGCGCCTTCTTTAGACTGGCACTTGTCCATCTGCTGGTTGGCGAGCAGGTAGGCACCTTCGTCACAGCACTGCAGAGCCTGGTGACAGCACGGGGCAAACACAGGGAGCGAGACTGTCAGCAGCACTCCTACTGAACCAAGGTTCCCACAAGGAACATCATTTACTGGATTTATATTTTCAACATGGAGCTAATTAGTACTCTTAAAGAGCTCGGCAGCTCTTGCATTTGGATTAGGAAGTAGAACGGCCACATTTTTATCTGGAGGGTGACTGTAGTCCTCAACACACCCAGCCAAGCTCTGGGGTATAACTGACACAGAAGCACTGTTTAGTGCATAGTTGAACCAAATGATAAGCAGATCTTTATTTATCCAACTCAGAAAGCTGAAGGGGGCACTATCAGAGCTTCCAGCGAGACAGGCAGGTTTCCGGAGATAAATACTTGCCTCAGCGCAGACCTGAACAGCAAGGAATGATTGACATAATTGCATTCATGCTTTAAAAAAAATAAATCAGGATTTAAACTTTCAGTTTAAAGTTCTACATTTACCAGGCTCAGGTAAAGGCTGAAGGCCAGGCTGGGGTGCAGCTGGCACTCGTACACTGTGGTGTGCAGAGGGGTGAGAAGATGCTGCGGCAAAGAACGACAGAGACCCCGGTGCTGTGAGCAGGAAGGGAGACCATGGAGAGCAAAACCACAGCACACTCCAGTGGAGCCCATGGGCTGAACCACCAGCACCAACCAGGACTGCCAGGAGCCCAGGAGAGGACACTGCTCTGCAGCTGAAATGTCCGTCCCCACAGATCAATGCAACATTGAAGTGGAGCACACAGAGAAAAAGAACAAGTTCTGCAGTCCCCCGAAACAGTGAAATGGAACAAGGTCAAACTTCACTGCTTCTCTTAATGGCCTCAAGCACATTAGAGCTATGTGCCTTCTGGCCTAATTAGCGTGAATTTCCCTAAATGAATATTTGATGCTGATTAAGATATCAAAGGGCTCCGAAGCCACATGACTCCACTTCCATGCTAGCACACAGCAGCTGCGCCTATCTACCAATCTGTCGCCTTATTTTACAGTCAGCTATGTTCATTCTTAATAAATTGCTAACAAAAAAGGGCTGCTGTTTATCTGAAAGCATTACCTCTATCGCACTGGGTACGAAAACCTCGAAAGTCAATTAATACATGGATAGAATCCTAGAATCACAGAATGGTTTGGGTTGGAAGGGACCTTAAAGATCACCTAGCTCCAGCCCCCCTGCCATGGGCAGGGACACCTCCCACTAGCCCAGGTTGCTCAAAGCCTCATCCAGCCTGGCCTTGAACCCCTCCAGGGATGGGGCATCCACAGCTTCTCTGGGCAGCCTGGGCCACTGCCTCACCAGCCTCACAGAAAAAAAAAAAACTTCCTCCTAATATCTAATCTAAATCTCCCCTCTTTCAGCTTAAAACTGTCACCCCTTGTCCTACCACTACACTCCCTGATGAAGAGCTTTCCCATCTCTCCTGTAGCCCCCTTTCAGCACTGTCAGGCTGCTATTAAGTCTCCTCGGAGCCTTCTCTTCTCCAGGCTGAACAACCCCAACTCTCTCAGCTCGTCCTCATACGGGAGGTGTTCCAGCCCTCTGATCATCTTCGTGGCCCTTGTGGACAGAGCATGAAAGCATGACCAACAGCATCAGCTGAACTTTGGTGTTCTGAATTGCCCTCCAGAGAAGCCCATCTCTTTCTGCTGACTACTCACAGCACCAGCAGATATCTGTTCGCTATCTTAACCAGCTAAGTGAGGTATGAAGCACTCTTACACCCCCTAAGGAACACTTTCCTACCATCAACTGCTGAAGCAAAACTGCAAATTTCAGATGCTTCCAGCTAAGAATTGGAGAGGATAACCCCATGGAGAAGCTAACTACGTACTTCTCAAAGCACTCTGTCTCTGAACTCTACCTGCTGAAGGCGGGTATGAAGATCCAATGTCTTCTGCAGTCGCATCTGCTTCCTCTTGATCTCATCAGACAAGACATCGGAATGGTGCCGCAGCTCGTTGCACTGCTGGCAGATCAAGTTGAGTGCGTAGTGATGATTTGCTGCTAGCTGGTGTCCGTGGAGTATCACCACCTGAGCCTTCCCGATCAGATCCTTCAGTGAAAGGAAGAGAATGGATTGCACACTTACTAAAATAAGGCCAAAATATCTACATACAACAAAATGGACTTTCTCATCTTACCAGATTTCAGGTACACATGGAGATGACTGCCATTAGGAGTAGCCAGAATGGGTGGCTTACGCAGGATAAAATGGCACCCATCATCTGGGAAAAAAAAACTTTTGCTATCCAAAAAAGAGGATGAAGAAGGAAACAGTATTTCACCAAACTAGCAATGCTGTGAATGGCTACTGGCAGCGCATTGCTGCCGTCTCCAGGAACTGCACTCTAAAAAAAATGATGTCCCGTTAGGCACACTATGCCCATGAGCATGAAAAGGAATTTGAGCAGTTGAGGTTTATGGCAAAAACAAACCAGGCCCTTTGCAGCAAAACTTGATACGAAGAACATGTTGTTTACTCTGCACATCTTGGTCAGTGTAATGGTTACATCTTCTCCAAGGTTGGCTTTTCGCTGGAACTGCTTCCCTGTTGCACCCTCTCTGCCTGGCTTTTTGTTCCTCCTCCCTCTCTCCACAAACATTTCTTCCAAATGGCCAAAAAGCCTTACACCTTTCCCCTAGGACTCTTCTTTTCAAAGAAGCCTCTGGGGGTTGTGTCCAGGTCCCTCAGGATTTCCCCACTGACCCTGGCCCACATGCCAAGCCCATCCCTTCACAAAAGTCATGTCCTCAGTTGGGCTGCTGTGAATCACCACTCTTCACTCTTCTTTCCCCTACATCTCCTAGTCTTCATCCATATGTTATGTTCAAATCACAGACACGACAAGATAGCAACTTTTTTGCCTCTCCATGTGCCTGGTAACAAGTCTCTGCCTATTAGCACTGCTAAAGCACTTAACATATAAATAATTCCTCTTCCAGCTCATTAGCTCCCACGCCTCCCCTATGTTCAGACATTTATCTGTTCTGGATTTTCATGATGGCTCAGCAATTTATTTTAACTACGATAACTAAATACCCTGTTCCTGGCTTTCAGAGTGATCACAGCGTTGCTGCGCAAAGACATGAAATCAATCCCTTTGTGCAGCCACTTACCAACGAACTGCGCCAGAAACAGGTAATTTCAGAAAACACCTCCTACCACAAATACAGAATGTGCCTCTTGCGTTTCATTAGTGCCTCTTTCTGTGAAAGGCTATCTCACCTGAGCCATACCATCGAAATGACCCAAGTCCTTGAGCCTCTGTTTCACTTGGGGGACACTGTCGCCAGTGTCAGGCAGCTCCGCTTGCTGACCCATTAAAAATTCAATGGCATTCTTGACCTAGACACAAAGAAGAAGACTGCTGCAAAAGGATACAAAGCACAGGCAGAAAATAATTCTCAGATTAAAATTAATCACACTTTAGCTAAGACTGCTAAATCCAATAATAAAACTAGTGTCCAAGAACTAATTTCTAAATTCAAGGGTGCTTCCATCAGCAAAATCTACGAGACTGCAGGGCAGTGATACTTAAATTAGCTCTGAATGAGGAAACACAGTGGTCTCCCCAAGCAAGCTAGCCCTGACAGAGCCAAGGAACAGCAGCATAAATTAAATGCTCTCAAAATAAAAAGCAGAAAAATTTCTCTCCTCTCCCCTCCTTTTCATCTCCAACTCTTCCTTCTGGCAACAGAAGTGCATCTGATCATACCTCTTGAAAACTTTGCTCAAACTTCCACAGTTGGATATATTGCTCCATTTTCAACTGGTGTTTTTCCCAGAAGCCATCAAAAGCAGTCTCCATCTCACGCAGCTGACCAAGTAACCTTGAGCACAGAAAAAGGACAGAACTGGGACAATTTGCCAATAGAGGACAAGCAGAGATGGACAAGCCCTAGAGATCACCTGTGCAGGTCTTCTGGACCCAAGCTCTCAGGGGAAGCCAACGGACGTGTATATATGACTTGTGAAGATCTCAGAGAGAATTTTAATGAAATCATGACAGCACCTGTGTGAAGCAGTTGCTGCTATCTCCATTTATCTGAATAATTCCTGGGAGCCTGGCATGGGAGAACCCTGCATCTGCTCCACAGCCTCATCGGACCAGTGGGGGGATAAAACAGAGCAGGTCCAAGTCATTTGACAGAAGTCACCCAGCAATTTGATGGGTCTGGAGTAAAACTCTGGAATCTCTGTCTTTACCTGTTTGACAGGTGACCTAAACAACACATCTACACTTAAATGGCTTGAGTGTCTCCCCTCAAAAATCAGGGAAATTAGGAGCATGGTGCACTCACCGGTTCACAGTCTCCCAGTCCCCAGGCCTCTCGCGGTGCTGGTCCTGACTGCATTCCCCGGAGTCAGGCTCTTCAAAACTGCTCAAAAGCAAGTTTCCTTCTTTTGTGACTGCTGTAATATCTTCCTGCATAATGCAAAAGATTTCTGATTCAGCCTACTTTTTACGAGGCAAGGATAAATCATTTTGTGTTTCTCCTGCCTCAGTTTCCCTGTATGAAGCGAAGCACCAGTATCCACCAGACTAAAGGACTCCCAGCAGATGTTTTACCCCCTTAACGTGGGGAGCTGGACAAAGCTGAACCATAGACTGGTCACCAGGCTGGGGGGAAACTGGCACGCATGAAAACCTCAGGCCACAAAATCATTCAAAAGGCAGGAGGCCAGCACTGCCACAGGTCTCTCTTGGGGAGCAGGTGGGTTTGTATTAGGTCTCTAGCTCTTCATAGATTCACGCAAATATTTCTGCAGCTTGGAGGCTGCTTCTCTGTCAAGGTTATCACAGGAGGCTGCAGGAAGAACATCCCATAGCAGGACAAAGCGAGGACTGAGATCGTGTGGCACCACCTGCTAGAGCCCCTATGTATAGAGGCAAGTGAGCACTTCCAATGTAACCTCCCCTGGGGATAATTTAAACCCTTCTGTGTTCGTTAGCATCAGCTGAGGTGCTCTGTGCTGTGTTGGGCTCAGCCCCAAAGCCAACAGGTGCATTTAGTAAATTATTCTCAGAAAAAAAGAGCCCAAAGACAGAGGTGAGAAGGAAGGAGAAAATAGATGTGGTTGATGAATTTGAGTTGGGAGAAACCCCAAAGGAGCGACCTGTGCGCAGCTCCATGGGAGAGCCAGCTCCAGGAGGAGTAAGAGCCTATCCTAGGAGATGGTCAGACTTCTGTTGCAAGAGAAACAATGGCAAAACCACTTTAGGGAGAAGATTCAGAAAGCACAGACTTGCTTAAACATCTGCCTGCCCCAGGGAGCTCGCAGCAGCCTGAACACAACAGCCTCTGCAGGGCAGCAGCCCAGGAGCAGTAGGACATGGCCACGGGAGCTGCTCCTCTCCCACGCACAAAGTTTCCACTCACAGTTCGCATCCCTGTCACTAAAACATCACGGAAGACGACTGCAAGGCAAAAACCCCATCTCCTTTTGCTACCACCACATCCAGGAGACTCAAAAAGGAACAGGAACAATGCAGCACGCTTTAGACCTCAGGTGGCTGTTATTTCATCCTCTCTCATCTCACTGTCCAGAGCCCTGCATTCCCCTTTTGATTCAAAGCCTTTGATTCACTGTACGTATGACAAAGTAGCCCAACTGTCAAGCAGGTGTTAACTTGATTTTTTCCCATTCAGTACATCAAAGAGGTTAATTTTGTAGTTACTCTGTTTAATTAATTTCTGTCATTTTTCCATTGTGTTTGCAACCAGTTTCCGTTCAGTATCACAGCTACATAAATTATTCTGCCTGACTCATTATTTGACTTCAGGAATCAGCTGTACCAATCTTGGGGTTGTCATGAGAGAGACAAGGATCTCTCTTGCTGTCACCACAATCTGTGCACAGTTTCTCATCTGCTTTCATCTTTCATGGTCTTCGAAGGAACAAAAGAAAAAAGCCAACGGACTTCATTTCAGTCAAAAGCCAACGAGTGGTTTTGATATTTGAAATTAATAGATGAGGCATTAAAAGCAACAGATGCCTTGTACTGAGTGCTGCTGGGCTTTAGATGCAAATGAAAACACATGGCATGTTTTATTTCTCCGCAGAGGGAAGTGTGTATTCCTGACTGGTTTCTATACAGGACTACACTGGGCAGCCGATACTTGCCCCCTACACTTTGGCGATAGTCCTAGGCATGGAGTTTAAGTCAGTAAGTCATACTGCAATATGTGTAGCTGCTGTTTCACACTACAGCTCTCTTCATTTTCAAAGAAGAAATAAAAGACGACTGGCACTATCTGTAATGATACTTTCTATACACACGCACATGCATTGATGCCTATGCACCGCGCACTCTGGGTGGCATTGTGTGTATTGCTTACAGGCAGCCTTCTGGGAACTCTGTCCCGTGAATGACAAATGATAATAAATGAAAACAGATACACTCCTTTGACTTATGTAAACGAGCCCTGTCATAAAGCAAAGGAGCTCATTCTTCAGCCGCAGAGCATGGCTATTAACACGGGAATCGTTTCTGTAGTGTGGGTTTGGGGACAGGCCTGTGCTGTCCCCAGAAAGATGCAGGAGCAGCAAAGACAAGAGCTGCACCAAGCTTCCACTAACTCTTGTAATCACAACCACAAATAGTTAAAAAAAAAAAATCTTGAAATATTAAAGAAACAAATGTTGTTTAAGACAAACATAAAGGCTCACAGGATCACATCATGAATGCTCTGTACCACATGCTCATACAAAACCTTCCCCTCGGATGCCTCCAGCATCCCTCAAGTCCCCCTGGGGAAGGTGCACCAGGTGGTGGCACCTGGGGACAACCCATCCCTCCAGACCTGCTGATGATCTCTATGTGCAGCTTCCTCCAGCCATGCGGGTGAAGCGGAGGGAATCCCACTGGGGCACAAACCCACCAGTGGTGAAGCCTCCCACCCGCCCTGCTGCCAGCGAGACGTGCCAAGCCCCAGGGGAGCACACCACAGACACCAACTGCTGCAGCCAGGGCGGAGGCGGCAGCTGAGACAGCTTGCCGGATGCTGGCAAGGTAATTCACTTGGGTGGACGGGAAATGTAAGGGTAACGTATAGAAACAGACATGCTGTGTTCTGTTTTGTCTGTCAACACATACACATGCATGGGAGGGAAGGAGGCGTGGGCACCAAACAAACAGGCAGTGAAAGCCCAGAATTCCCATCTTGCTGCGCAGAGAGGGGCTGGAAACACGCGGCGGAGTTGCTGACGAGACATACCTTGAGCTGGTAGTACTTCTCCGTGCGCAGGGCCAGGATGCGCTCGATGGAATACATGTCCTCTGGTAGCTCAGTCTCAGCCAGCTCCGTGCCAAAGGATTGTAACATCTGTGCAATTTCCTTCACGGTTAGTGCAAAACTCTCTATTGCCTGGTGGGAGACAATAATCACAATCAGCTTGGGATTCAGGGTATTCCTACAGCTCATTTAGGAGTATGCAAAGAGCCAAGGCTGAGATCTGCAGGGGAGGGAGCTGGGTGGGACGTCCACTGCAGACAGAGCTGATGTGTGCTGGGGTGCATCAGCTAGTGGCCACCAAGATGTGGCCAGGTGTCTTTTAGTGCAGTTTGAATCCACAACAGGGAATTAAACAAGGAGAGTATTGGGCAGAAATACTTCATGCTTTGTTTTCTGCTGCTTCTTCTTGCGCACTCTGAGATTTTTTTTGCCTACATATTGGAGGTTTATAGCAGAAGCCACCACAGGATCCATCTCACAAATTCCTGTAATTCTTTCTCTATTACTCTCCTTTGTTTAACCCACACTGGGAACCATCTCCAGGGCTTATGAGATGTATTTGGCTTTTTGATGACGGAGGTTTCCAGCTTTGCAAGCCTGGTTCCAAGGCAGTCTGGCATCATGGCCACCTCATCAGCAGCTGCACCAAGGGGACAAGGGAGGCAGCTAAGCACTGTGCTAGAGACAAACTGGAGACAGTGGGATGGAAATGAACGCTGCTGGTACCTCCTTTGCTCTGATCCTTCCCCCAGTTGCAGGAGGGGAAGAGCACGAAGCCGCACGGAGCCCAGACTGTGACCTGGTGATTGGATTGGCAAGGAGCTGCTGGTCTCCTGCTCAGCTAGCAATGAACTGCCACAAGAGCAGAGGACACAGCCCTGCTGAGGCTTGAAACCTTGTCCCCTGGAGGACACACAAACAGCTCCAGCTCTGCTCTTGGGAACAGGGTAATAAACTCAAATGTAAGAGATCACGTTTGTATTTTCTTTAAACAGCATGTATTTTCCATGGAAATTTCAGGAAATGTTTTATGAACATACTACAAGGGCATTTTCAGAGAAGTTTTTCATACAGACACGTATCTACCATATGCAGCTATGGTCTAGAAACTCATCCTTTTCTTAGATTAACAGGTTTTGTCATTCATTTTTCCATTTTTGTCTCTAAGTGTGAGAGCTATGCCCTTATCACGTTAACACATCATGCAAAAGAACAAAACTAAGAGCCAAAAATTTCAGAAAATCATTAATTTGTCAGCGCATCAGTGTAAAGTGGCAGAAAGTTAATGGCACAAGCATTAGCTTGAGTTATTCCAGCTACAATGACTTCTGTTTTTCTCTTTGTACTGAGCTCCACATCTGCTGGTGTGGATGATGTTGCAGGACAAGGAGCACTAGGATGCACTAGTGCTTTGATTTGTCGGAAAGGTAACTGGGAATCCAATCTGCCATTAATCTGGGAGACAAAGTCCCAGTGAAAACTAAGAACGTACAGGAAGCATAGAAATACACGGCAAGGCACAGCTCAAGGAAGTAAATGCCTGATCCCTGGCAATATTAAAGGAAAATTCTTGCAAAGAAAAAAAAATAAAAGGAAATTGCTTGAATTCTCTGCATTTGGTCAGTATGCAGAGAGCAGTCTCACTGCCGTGGTTCTCAAACACATTTGTGATATTAATCACATGAAGCAACCATTATTTAAAAAAGAACCCTATTTTGTATCTATCATTAAGGGAATTTTGATAAAGACTTAGGAAGACAGATCTTTGAGGAGCCGTTTCAAAAGGACCCTGAGGGAATTAAAAATCCAATTTCCTCACAAACTCATCAAGTGCCCAATGCCACTTGACTCCTTCACAAATCTGATCGAGGAAAAGTAGCTGGCTTCAGGGGCTACTTTCAGCTACCCATTGCTCATTGCCTTGCAGAAAACCTTCCTCAATCTATCCCAAACCCCCAAGAGCCCAGAACCGAGCGCCAGTACGTACAGTCCTGAAGATGACCCACTCGCTGTGGCAGTACTCCAGGGTGCCTCCAAACTCCGGCGTTAATTGCTGTTCATCGATGTACGTCAGCAGGTCGCTAACCGAGCTCAGCATCACAACCTGCAAACAAGGCAACACCATCAGCTGGCTGATCATCACTTCTACCTAAGTCACACACAGATCAAGCCGACAAATCTTTTATGTATCTAAAAACTGGGTTTGCTCTAAATATTTTCCTACAGCATGGCTTTCTTCTTATGCTCACAGCTTAACATGGCTTTTATTCGATGTATTTGACCATTTTTGTAAGCCAGCCCTCATCTCCCAGGTGCTTTCTTCCTTAAATGCAAAGCACAGTGGATGCTGCAGTCTCTGACTGCAGAACAGAGCTGAAAAGCAAAAGTAATGCAGGTTTTTGCAAGGGACGACCAGTAAGCTGGAAAAAATATATAGATTTTTATACATCATGAAGCATTGGCCTATGAGTTTTTGTGAAATACATACTCATGAGTTTTTGTGTGTCTCCATCTGTCCTGTGATAAATCATGAATTTTCAAAACTGTGCAAATGACAATAATTTGAGCACAGAAAATGCACAGCTTGTGAAAATCATATTATTTCCCAAAGGAAAACTGGTTTGTTTTGTGGATTTGTAATTGTGTCAACTTTACATTCCATAAATGTACTTTTCTTCTCTTAATTATTCTCATTATGTCCCATAATCAAGGTGGCTTTAGAAGTCTTGGAAACTCTGTCTTGGAACTATAAAACCATTTCAGTTGCTATTTTAAAGACAAATACCAACATGATGTTGGTATGGAGTTGACATGAGACAAAAATGGCGATTATGGAATCCATAGCCAAAGCTTCACAAGACATGTTTTTACTTTTCAGACATTAAACAAATTCCTGAGCATGATTTTGTCCTCCACAGAGGCATACAGCCTATGTACTACCATGGACATGCTCTGTGGGGAACCAACTGTGCCCAAGGGAGCTGAAAAATTCTACAGGAGAGATTTGGCAAAGAGACATTTGGTGGAAATAAGGCATTAGTGGCAGAGACACTCCAGTTACTCTTCATATGGTGCCTGCAGAGTGGGACACGATCCCCCTCCTGACCTGGGGTGCGCCGGCAGCCTCCAGTCACACATGGGCACAACACTTCTGCACACTCGTACCGGTAACTTGAGTAGAAAATCCTCCTGACTGAACCGAAATCCAATGTCGGTGAAGGTGCGCTGGAAAAACCCCGTGGGCCGAAGAACCATCACTAAGTGCAGGTTCCCTGGGAAAGACGCCTGCAAGGAAGCAGAGACAACATTCAACCTGGGGATGTGGCAGGTCCAACGACAGCTTTCAAACACCTTGAAAAGATGGGAAATCATGGGGATTTTAGCATTTTTTTCTGATGGCCCCCGATAGCCTTTTCTTATTTCAAAACAGGAGGGAGATACTGTAAGTGGTTTGGAGATACGGGATGTATCTGTGGGGGGATTGTTCAGCCTCACTTCCCTTTGGAACAGGCAGGAGTTCAGCCATGCACCTTGGAGGGCCACTCATTATAAACTTTAATACTATATAGAACAGAATCATAGAATCGTAGAATCACAGAATGCTTTGGGTTGGAAGGGACCTTGAAGATCATTGAGTCCCAAGCCCTCTGCCACGGGCAGGGACACCTCCCACTAGCCCAGGTTGCAACTCTCTGGGCAACCTGTTCCCGTGCCGCACCACCCTCACAGTAAAAAATTTATTCCTAATATCTAATCTAAATCTACTCTCTTTCAGCATAAAACCATAACCCTTTGTCCTCTCTTCATCCTATACTGTGTTCAGTATCAAAACTTAGGGAATGAAATAACGACTTAGCAGGGAACAGAGGGCTGGAAGGTCGAGGGGAAGGACAGACAGATTGGGGAAGTAAAATTTATTGCCAAACTCGTTAATCATCCTGTAACTGCATCAAGCATACTCTTCTTGTTCCCAGTAATTACCAGGCAACATTTAATTTGTGGTAAGAATTTGGCATTTCCTGCCTATGCTGCTGGAGCCTTTTTTCAAGCATATGGTTGGCAGGTGCGTTTTTAAATAGATCTGTGAAAAGGGTGCTTGAGAATGAAAAAGAATTTTTAAGAAAGTAGGAGTCATATCACTAAATTATGGATAAGTGCATGATGCAAAGAATTGAGTTAATTAAGACATGATTTTCTCTGAGATCCTGACAGGCCAGGTTATATTTCTCCATATATTCCTCCTTATATTATCCTCCTCCATTGTCCTCCAAGAAAGATGACAGTAGTATCTATACCAAGATTGAGAGTAATGAACATGCTTAGATACTTTGCACTGCAGGGCACTTTATGCCATCAAAACAAAGATCATTCCCATAAACATGCATCAGTGTGGTTCAAAAAAGCCATGATCTACAGTAGAGATCTACAATCCATGAACTGCATTGTAGCTAATTTGCTATGTTTTCTTGTGTAGGACAGGTCAAGTTGTGGCTTCCATTGCCTACAACTCCACTTAGAAATGGACAGCAACTTTTAGGATCCAATAAGCCACATAAATTCCATATATTGATCTGCTGCTATTTTAAGGAGGAGTAGAAAAAAGAAAGAAATGAATATGAATGAAGTGCCAAATTCATACCTTTTGGAAGTCGTAAGAACTGTGCCAGGGACAAAGATCTGGCACTAGAAACAAGAGCAAACCATTATATAATGGAGAAGTTTGTGCTGGCTCCAGGCCCTGGACTCTGTACCGCTGTTACACAGCACCTGGTTAGCACACAACCACAGAATCACAGAATGGTTTGGGTTGGAAGGGACCTTAAAGATCATCCAGTTCCAGCCCCCCTGCCATGACAGGGACATCTCCCAGGTTGCTCAAAGCCTCATCCAGCCTGGCCTTGAACCCCTCCAGGGATGGGGCATCCACAGCTTTCCTGGGTAACCTGGGCCACTGCCTCACCACCCTCACAGGAAAACATTTCTTCCTGATATCTAACCTAAATCTCCCCTCTTTCAGCTTAAAACCATTACCCCTTGTCCAGCTGCTAGCCCCAGGCACACAGCGATGGCTACAGCCACGGGAGACCCAAGGAGCCAGCTTCCAACCCCATCAAACCTGCAGATGGGCCCAAGTTCTAAACCTGGCCATGGAGTCACCAGACCTTCGCAGTTCTGAGACAGGTCTTGCCCAAGAAGGTGTGGGTGAGAGGCTGCAGCAGATCCAGGCTCAGCTCCCTGCTTCAACGCCTGTTTCATTAGCTCTACAGGGAAGATCAGCTCTCCTGCAGGACAGCCACAGGCAAGCCCTCCAACAGACACAGCTCTGAGGAGAAGCCCATCTTGGAGACCTTGCCCAGCTCAGGATTTTTAGCTTGAGCTTCCCATATTACTAGAAAGAAAATAATTCACAGGCTACCAGATACCTCCAAGGAGTTGGAGTGGTTCCTCACTTTGAGACTGAGAAGAATCTCTGCCTGGGACACAGAAAAACTTCATTGAGGAAAGCACCACCAGAACTGGCACAGGCTTGTAGACATTTTGAATGAACTGAAAATTTACAGCATTAATATTTCACTGGAAAGTCTCTGGCAAGCTCAGCACTCATCCTCCAGCGCATCCCAGGGAAGCTGGCTGCCTCTCCCCCCTCACCGTGCTGGCTGGCCACTGGACCCAGTAAATGCTGCTATTGCTCTTCCCAGGCCCGTTGGCTGACCTCGCTGGACCTCGACACTCTTCATGCTCCGGCACGTCCCACAGCACTAGGACATCCCAGGAAGAGACCTGCTGGTCTGCGTTTGTGGCCACACTGTGCCTGTCCCTGCAGAGCTGTGAGGCCACCATGTGTCTCTCCCCCACGCCCACCCTCATATCCCCATTTGCCTCATTTTACAAGCTGGTGATTCACTGGTGGGCATTTCTCTGCAGACAGGATGACAGTAGCAGACCTCAATAAGGCTCCAAAGATATCACCAAGGACCCTCCCTGAGCTGCAAACCCTGAAGGACAGGATGTTTTGGTCCAAGACAGGCCCTGCACCCCTGGTGTTTATGGCCCAAACTGACTTGAACCAAAGCCTTGTGAGGCCAATGGTCTTACAATGCTCTAAAGGAGCTTGCAGGATGCAATTTTATGTCCTTCTGCATGTTTATTAGTCCATCATAGACGAATCCAATGGTGAAGTCCCACGGAGTTTGGGGAAAGTCACTGTTTCCAGCTCAGAAATGCAACAGTGTGTTCAGGTCTTGAACTTCAGGCTCCCACTTTGACC